GGGGGCGGGGCACATGACGAAGCCCCGCCCCCTGCTTCCGGCCGCCCCGCTTCCAGCCCTCATTCAGCCAGGAGGAGGCAGGAGAAGAGGGAGGGTAAGTTGCTTCCTCCCCGCCTCTCCCCACCCCTGCCTGCCTGGGGCCAGGGAGGGCCTTGGCGGGGCTTCCTCGCACTCCCGCCGGCCTTGCAGGTCCACCGCCGGGCCCCTGACGTCAGGGGGTGTGGCATAAGCTAATGAGTTATGCTAATAAGTTCCCCTAGCTCTTTTTCTACGAAATGACCCCTGAATAAAATACACTAGATTAACAGTTTACATGCACAGACATTTTCCAAGAAGATCATTTCCGAGGGCAGCCATGTTGGTCAGCAGTCGAATAGCTGGATTTGAGCCCAGTGGCACATCGGAGGAAGGGGGAAATCTTCTACCTGGAAAATCTTGTGGGTCTCTAAAGGGCTCCTCGACTTGAACTGAGGTGCAGACATACTCCAAAAGATTCTTAAACCAGGAGCTGGGTATAGATGGGTCGGTGTTTCCTTCCCCACACAACCACAAAGCTCCAGGTCAGACTGGAACTGGAGCTCATTCCAGCCGAGAGGTTGCCATTGCCTTCATTGAATCACCCAGGAAACTTCAGTCAACAACCAAGTGAAAACAAAGAAAAGAAAAACACATTTGCCTGTCAAAGGATCTCCTGAAAAGCACCATCGTTACTGACTGAAGGGTTGCCAACACCAGGTTGGGGAGTGGAGCCTGAGGAGGGCGGGGTTTGGGGAGGGGGAGGGACCTCAATGGGGTATAATGCCATAGAGGCCACCTTCCAAAGTGGCCATTTTCTCCAGATGAGCTGACCTCTGTCTCCTGAAGACCAGTTGTAATCCCAGAAGATCTCCAGCCACCTCCTGGAGGGTGGCAACCCTAAATGGGTACCAGTCACCAGTAGAAGGATAGCAAGGCAAACATCCCATGGGAAGAAGGTTCAGAGTCTCTTAATGTGTCCTTCAGCCCCAATCAGGAGAGGGCACAGGGTTGCCAGCCTCCAGGTGGGGCCTGGAGATCCCCTGCAGTTACAACTGACCTCCAAACTACACAGATCAGTTCCCCCTGAATAAAATGGTTGCTTCAAAGGGGGGACTGTATGGCGTCATAGCCCTGCTGAGCTCCCTCCTTTTCCCCCCCAAACGCACCCTCCCCAGTAGGGGACACAAAGCAGAACCAGGTTAGAAAAGCTGAGGTTTCAATCCAATGCTGCGTGATGAGATTCTCCACAAGATAACTGAAAACAAAAAGCATTAAAGGCCTCAACAAGCCAAACCAGAACATTCAAATGGGACCCTTGTGATTTCCCTTCTTTTTGATCAGACGGTAATGTCTCCCCCCTCCCCACCTCCTGTAGCTGATCCCTGTAGCTGATCGAGGAAAGACTCACCCGTATGGAGTAAACCAGGGCTGCAATTCCCAGAGGCAGGCAACAAAACAGCATGGTGAAGATGGAATATGCCAAGTAAACTTTTTCATGGGTCGGCTGTACAGGGACAACGAAGGTGGTGTGCAGTGGAGGTTGAATGACAGGCCCTTGGCCGGGCACTTCACTGTACGGGGCATAATAAGGCTGGTACCGAGATGGCATGGTGGAGTTCGCTGACCCATCAACAGGTGGTGGTTGCTGATCGTAGGGCTCTTTTTCGGAGTAGGGTGGCGGGTTCGGGGCAGACGGTGCACTTCCTTGGTAGTTCAGATGGTCCATAGTGAAAAGGTCTCCTTCTCAGCTCTGCAGGGGGATTCTCTGCTCTCAAAATGTTCTCACTGTCCTCCCCGAGTATTCCTTTCCCTGCTCTTCCGGTTACTCCCCGCTGAACACTCTGTCACCTTCTCTTGGTTGCAGGTTGGTCCTCTTCCATCTGCTCTGCTCCGACTACTATCCTGTTCTGTAGCCCTCTGTAGACTGGATGGAGCAACCTCCCCGTGCCTGCAATAAAGGAAGAGCCAGCAAGTGATTCAGCAAGGCATTGTGCACTGAATCACCCCAACAGATAGAGGAAAGGCGTGAGAGTTCTGTGAAGGATGACATTGCCCTCTTGCTAGAGAATGGAAGTTCTGCTTTTTTCCATTCTTGCTACGGGACACTCGACCCTATTTTGCATGAGGTTTTCTCCCGTTTACGCAGGAGCGTGCCATTTAGTAAGACCAAAATACTTTTCCTGCCAGAGATATTCTCATTTCCTGTTCCCCCAGCTAAAGTAGAGCCGTCCTCTCACCCGCCATTTCCCATTTCCCAGCATACACAATTCACGGAGCATTGTACAGCCGGAAAACGAGCAAACTGCAGGGAAAAAAGAGACTCAGTAAAGAGCCTCTGCTTGGCATGCAGAAGGTTACAGGCTCAATCCCCAGCAGTTAAAACGAATAGCCCGAAGGTGATGTGAAAGACCTCAGCCTGAGACCCAGGAGAGCCACTGTCAGTTTGAGTAGACAATACTGATTTTGATGGGCCAATGCTTTCAACGGTGGACGCTATGCCATCACACCCCACTGAGGTCCCTGTCCTCCCCAGGCTGCATCCCCAAATCACCAGGAGTTCCCCAACCTGGATCTGGCAGCTCTACCCCCTCATCCCCCTCCGGTGGCCAGGGGGAACCTGGCAACCCTGCACCAGACCGCTGTTCACAATTATACGACATATCTGAAGGCAAAGCCAATGATCTCGGGCGTCATGCGTAGTGTGGTCACAGGGCCCATATTAGGATCACAGGGACTGTATCATTCCAGTGGGAGCAGGATCGCGGCCCAATGTGTGCCAATTAGGGCTCTACTGGTAGCAGGAGCTCCTTTGCATATTAGGCCACACACCCCTAGTGTAGCCAATCCTCCAAGAGCTTACAGAGCTCTTCTTACTGGGGCTACTGTAAGCTCTTGGAGGATTGGCTACACTAGGGGTGGGTGGCCTAATATGCAAAGGAGCTCCTGCTACCAATAGAGCCCTGCAGGTGGTTGTCTTCAAGTGGTCACTGAAGGGCAGCACCTAAGGACACTCTCTGTTTGACAGCAGGGTCACAGGGTATGATTCTGCTCCTTTCTCTTCCAGTAATGATGCTTCTACACCACATGCTGTCTGCACAAGGCTGCTGGCAGACAGGATTTTGTGGCTTGTGGGACAATTATTTTCTAGGTGGGGTTGCCATTATTTGCCATAATGAAAGCGGGTGGAACACCCCCCTCTCCCTCCCCTTTAAATGCTTTTGTGAAGAAGCAGGGGCCCTTTAAGGAAGGGGACAGAGCCCTCAATAGCCCCACTGTAGCTACAGGCCAGCTGCTGGGTAACGCAAGCCAGCTGCTTCAGCCAGCCACCATCCTTTTATTTCTTTTACTTTATTGATTGGTAGGGTTTTTTCCCCTATTTCTTTTATTGACTGGTAGTTTTAAGCTGTGGTGGCTCAAGTGGTTAAGACGCTGAACTGCAGGCTGTGGAAGGTCAGTAGTTCAGCAGTTCGAGACCCGAGTGTGCCGCATGACAGAGTGAGCGCCCGTCTCTTGTTCCAGCTCCTGCCAACCTAGCAGTTCGAAAGCAAGAAATTGCAAGTAGATAAATAGGTACCACTTTGGTGGGAAGGCAACAGCGTTTCGTGCACCTTGGTGTTTAGTCATGCCGGCCACATGACCACGGAAACGTCTTCGGACAGTGCTGGCTCTTCGGCTTTGAAACGGAGATGAGCACCGCAACCCTAGAGTTGGACTTGACTGGCTTTCAAGCAAGGGAACCTTTACCTTTACCTTTAGTTTTAAGTG